GAGCCACAGTACCACTTCCAGCCTTTTCTGCTTATGTGGTGTTGAGAAATCAAACCCAGGGCCTCATGCATGCAAGGCAAGCACTCTACCACTGACCTACCTTCCCATCCCCTGGCCAGAAGTTCCTGACCGTGTGTGTGTGTGTGTGTGTGTGTGTGTGTGTGTGTGTGTGTGTGTGTGTGTGTGTGCGTGTGCGTGTGTGCGTGTGTGCGCGCGCGTGCAGGGAAGCTAGGAGGAGGGAAACGAGAAGACATACAACAGAGGGGTCCACCAACTGTACTGGACATTGATGAAAATGAACTAAGCAACTCAAGCCAGGGATGGGAAGGAGAGAATGAGAGGGAAAGAGGGAACAGCTTCTCTAAACAAAAGAAATGTACATATAACCCGATGTGGAAGAAATAGTTGTATTGTCAAAGCTCATAGAATTCACAAACTTTATAGACCATGATAATGACAATTTGCCTTGTGAAGGTTAAAATGCGTTTGTGACTTTAAGTATCACTATCTCACAATACTGTGAAATTTATGTAATCACTTAATCTCAATTAACGTATTTTAAAAATGTGGTGCCATGGGGCTGGGAACGTGGCTTAGGGGTAGAGTGCTTGCCTAGCATTCATGAAACGCTGTGTATGATTCCTTAGTACCATATAAACAAAAAAATCTGGAAGTGGCATTGAGCCTCTAGTGGTAGAATGCTATCCTTGAGCAAAAGAAGCTCAGGGACAGTGCCCAGGCTCTGAGTTAAAGCCCAAGGACTGGCAAAAGAAAAAGAAAAAAAAAAATGCCTATACAGTGGAATTTTGCACAGTCATTAGGAAGAATATAATATTATGTCATTTGCAGGAAGATGAATGGACCTAAAACAACTCGTGAAATGAGGTAAGCAGAGCTCAGAACAATGGCACATATTCTCATGTGAAAGCTAGGTCTAAAATACAGAGACATAATAAATTATGCTCTTAGGAGAGGAACACAAAATCATAAAACCTATGTGTAGTTGATCATACAGAATAATATTTCTGGAAATGAAAACCAGGTTTTTTTCCTTAAAAAAAAAAAAGAAAAAGAAGAACATCCTAACCACAGAAATACAGCTTACTCAAATACGGCTTTACTCAAAAAGAATTTGGTTCTAGTCTTTTAACACCTACCTAGCTGCTGGAACTTTGGGCAAATTGGGTTACTTATTTGGGCCTGGGCTTTTTTTTTTTTCCTTAAGGGACAATCAGCCCTTAGCTGATCATCTAATGTGATAACACAAGCACAAGCTAGCCTTTTTTTACACATAGATTATGGTTTTATTTTGTTATATATTTTGCTATTCATTTTTTTTTTACAAATTATTGTGATTAAGTGATTACATAATTTCACAAATTTCACAGTATTGTGGGATAGTGATGTTTAGTTAAAGTCACAAACACATTCTAACTTTCATGGGGCAAATTGTCTATCGTCTATAGAGTTTATGAGTTCTATGAGCTTTGACAATACAGTTATTTCTTCCAAATAGAGTGATATGTACATTTCTTTCCTTTTGTTTAGAGTAAGTTGTTCCCTCTTTCCCTCTCATTCCCTCCCTCCCATCGCTGCCATTGAGTTGCCTAGTTCATTTTGATCACTGTCCAGTGCAGCTGATGGGTCCTACTGTTGTATATTTTTCCCTGATTCTCTCTAGTTCTGTGTCCTCCTACTTTCCCTCCGGTGTGCACATATATACCATATATGTGATCAGCAGCATGGGGTTATTTAGTAGTGATTCAGCCAGATTCACGTTTTGGATTTAACATCCACTTATCAGGGAGACCATGTGCCATTTGTCTCTTTGCTCTTGGCTTACCTCACTCAACATGATTTCTTCTAGTTCCATCTATTTCCCTGAAAATGCCATTATTTTGTCCTTTCTAATGGCTGCATAATATTCCATTGTGTATAGATACCACAATTTTTGGATCCATTCATCTGTGGGGGTGCATCTGGGTTGTTTCCATATGCTGGTTATTGTGAACAGTGCTGCAGTAAACACGGAGGTCTATGTGTCCTTGTATCCTGGTCATAGGGGAGGTCAATATTTAGCTTTCTGAGGATCCTCCAGACTGCTTTCCAAAGGGGCTGTATAAGTGTACATTCCCACCAGGAGTGTAATAGGGTTCTTCTTTCTCTGCATCCCCTCCAGCATTTGTCACTGGTTGACTTTAGGATGTGGGCCGTTCTGACTGGGGTAAGGAGGTATCTCAGGGTTGCATTTCCTTTACAACCAGTGATGATGAACATTTCCTCATGTGTTTCTTTGCCATTTTTGCTTTTTTTTGGGGGGGGGGGGTGTCCAGTCGTGGGCCCTGAACTCTAGACCTGGGCGCTGTCTCTCAGCTCATCAGCTCAAGGCTAGCGCCCTACCACTTGAGCCACAGTGCCACTTCCAGCTTTTTTCTTTTTTGCTTATGTGGTGCTGAGGAATCAAACCCAGGGCCTCAGGCATGCAAGGTAAGCGCTCTACCACTGAGCCACCTTCCCAGCGCCTTCTTTGCCATCTTTATCTCTTCTTCTGAGAAGTCTCTCTTTATAGTCCCTTGCCCATTTAGTAATTGGTTTGTTAGGTTTGGGAGGGATTAATTTCTTGAGTTCCCTGTATATACAGGATATTAACCCCATTGTCTGATATATTGCTGGTAAATATTTTTTCCCAGTTAGTTGGTTGTCTTTCTAGCTTGGTTGCTATGACTTTAACAAGCTAGCTTTGTTAAATACTTTTGAGGTGAAGTTGAAGAAGCTAGAAATCTGAAATCGGGAAGAATCAAGAGGCTGGAAGGCAAAAAGAAATTTGAGAGAGAAAAATAAAACCAAGATAAGCAAGGAAAAGAGGAAGACCGCTGGTTCATCCAAGTGGATATAGGCTGCAAGAGCAATTGCCATCAGTTAGGAAATCGCTTCAGGAGGGGTCGCTGGACCTGTGGGTCTAGTTGCTGGTGGAGCTATTTGGTTACAGCTTGCTGCTGGGCCCAGATCTATTTGGATGTGACACAGACTCCAGTCTTTTACAATCCTAGCCTGTGTTAGTGTAGCATCTGAGATGGCGGTGACGTTCCACAGCCGTCTGTTTACCAGCAATGGCAAGGCTAAAGAAAGTCCAGAAACTTGCTAGTTGTGAGTTGCTAGTTGCTAGTTTGTGAGTTGTGGTTAGCGCTGAACCCCATGTCAGGTGGAAAAGTAGCCAACAGACAAGGCCACCCACGTCAGGATGCTGTTTCTGTCTGTGGGAAGAAAAACCTGAAAACCTGCCTGCCTTCCCAACCAATGTGTTCAGAATATGAAATTATTATATTCTCTCTCCTTTGGTCATGTGATCACCACCGGTGAAGGCTAGAAGGCTGCTAACAAACTAGGTCCTTTAGAGAAATTCTGGCTGGATGATTCTCATGATTTTTTTCTTGTCTAGTGCTTTTTTTTTTTTTTTAAATAAAAAGTGTCCTGCTCCAAAATGCAACCTATCATTTCCCCAGAGCTCTCAGGAAAAGACTAAAAGATTCCTTGTTTCCTTGTCTCTGCCTTTTTTAGTATACTGTTTCATTCAAAATGCTTCCTTAATGACTTGGTATTCCCCATTAATGCATGGGTTATTGAAGACTGATATGTTCATTATGGTCTAGATTAAACTCCCCCACACACCATGCCTCTTATACATACACTAAATGAAGACTCTGGAGCTATGTAATATCATTTGGATTTGGCCTTGAAGCATGTCAGACTGGGTATGTGCATATAGAGAACATTTAGGAGAGCTGTCATATTTTGTGGATTGCTAAATTGATTATTCCCTAATAACCAACAAAGCTGGGTTTTGTTGCCTTTCTAATTTCTGTTAGTTTCTCTTTTTCCTTTGAATAATTCTAAGTATTTCCTTTTAATGTTATTTTAAGTTTTTATTACCTCTCTTTTCTGTAGCCACAGAGATTACAATATCTATATTTAACAGTCAGCTTATACGTTTTACCACTTAAAGCATTTATGTAAATTCTTCATGCTCCCCAACTACTCTATCTGACTGGGGTGTGTGGGGGGAGGGAGGGCTTGAGGGCCTCCCACATTCACTTGGCTTTTTTATTCACAATGAAAAGGAACTTCCATTTTGTCCCCACAGTGACTTTAAAAAATAAGAAAAAGGGAGGGGGGGGGTTGCCTATCCAGGTACCAGCATCTCAAACCTGTAACCATAGCTACTCAGGAGAGTGCGGTTCAAAGCCCAGCCTAGGCAGAAAAGCCCAAGAGACTATATCTCCAAAATAACCAACAAAAGGCTGGGTGGAGGGATGTTCAATGGTAGAGCGTAAGCTAAGTAAACAAGCTGATATGCAAGAGTGTGAAACCCTGAGTTCAAATCCCCCTTCCCCAATATCTATACCTGTCTGTCTTGCTATTGCCATCTATAGATAGATAGCTATATAGCTGTAGATATGGATAGATACCTAAGTGTTTTATGTTTGTGTTTTAATTTTTAGTTTCAGGAATCATATTTTAAGAGAAGAAAAACAGCTTTTTATATTTGCTCAGCCAAAAAATGTGATTAATGCACCCAAATACCAATTTTGTTCTTCCTTCATCACCCAACCCCCAACCTCCCTCGCAGTACAGGAATTTGAATTCTAGACCTTTTGTTTGCAAAATGAGTGTTCAGCCTCCTGAACATTCCTTTAACCCCTTTCGTTTTGAGATAGGATCTCAGTTTCTGTCTGGACTGTAATCTAATTATTTATGCTTCCATGAACCTGCAGTGACAGGCACATAGCACTGCATGCAGCTATTGGGCATCTAAGAAAGTATCTCTCAAATGTTTTTGCCCTAAACTGCTTGTCCCCTTCTCAGTCTTCCTATTAGCATGGATTTCAGGTGTGAGCCATCAGCACCCAGCTTGTATTTTGAGATGAGGTGTTACCAAGTTTTATTTTTCCTAGGTTGTCCTTGAACATTAATCTTGCCATTTCTGCCTCCCATCATTACAGGTGTCAATCCTCATGCCTGCCCTCTTTCTTTGTTTCTTAATGATCCCAGCTCCCCTTGGATACAATATTCCTTCAAAGTAAGTAATTCCATTATGTCAGAAATTTAGATTTTTACTGGTCTATATTTAGGCATTGAGCTTACTTACTGTTATTTCCTAAACTTTGTTATAGTTCTTTGTTAAATCGTAAGCCTAGGTATTAAGGATTCCATTGTAGGTCTATAAAGTAAGATTTCATATGTAAATGAAGAGGCTTTTACTTATTCCTTTCCATTATCATTATCCTTTATTTTCCTCTTACTTACTTATTAGAATTCCCTTTTAATACCCTGTTGAATAGAAGTGGTAAGGACAGATAGTCTGGCCTTAGGGTGGTTTTTCAGGAGAAAATATTTAGTCTTTCACTAGTATGTATGAATTTAGCTATAGGGTTTTATGGTTGTTTTATAGAATTCCTTTGTTAGATTAAGATATTTTTCATTCTCAGTTACACTGGACTTTTAAAGTCTTGAGTGAGATTTAAACTTAGTCAAATGTTATTTCTAGTCCTTTTGAATGATATTGTTACTTTTGCTGCTGATCACATAGATGGTATTATATGTGCACACCAGAGGGAAACCAGAAGGACGACACAGAACTAGAGGGAATCAGGGGAAAACATACAACAGAAGAACCCATCAGCTGCACTGGACATTGATCAAAATGAACTAAGTGATGGGAGGGAGTGAACGAGTGGGAAAGAGGAAACAGCTGACACGATGCAAAACAAAAGGAATGTACATATCACCCTATGTGGAAGAAATAACTGTATTGCAAAGCTCATATAACTCATAAATGTTATAGACCACGATAGACAATTTGCCCCATGAAAGTTAGAATGTTTGTGACTTTAACTAAGCATCACTATCCCACAATACTGTAAAAATTGGGAAATTATGTAATCACTTAATCACAATAAAGTATTTGAAAGATGATATTGTTTCTTTAATGTATTGACTACATTGAATTAATTTCAGTTATGAAACAGGTCTAGCTTTCTGGAATAAACCCTTACTTGGTTATAATATATATGCCCATACTTATATATTTTTGGAGTACATTTATAAAACATTTCTTAAGAATTTGTTGTCCTGGGTCTGAACACTGTCCCTGAGTTCTTCAGCTCAAGGGTAGCACTCTACCATTTGAGCCACAACACCACTTCCAGTTTTCTGGTGGTTAATTGGAGATAAAGAGTCTCACTGACTTTCTTGCCCAGGCTGGCTTTGAACCGTGATCCTCAGATCTCAACCTCCTGAGTAGCTGGAATTACAGGTGTGAGCCACCAGCGTCTGCCAAGGATTGTTTTTATGAAGAAAATGACTTTATAGTTTTCTTAGTGAAATTTCTTTCTGAGGCTCAGTGTGGCTTCACTAAAGTGAATTTTTCATAATAATTGTTACAGAATCCATCTTATTTAAACCACAGATGTTGCATTACCAATTTTTTAAAGTTTGTTTATTAAGTAGTTGTTTAATGCAGTTACAATTATAAAAGTCAGGTTATGAATACAATGCATCTTGGTCAATGTTACCCTTTCCTTTGTTCTTTCCCATCTTTCTCCGTCCCATCCTTACCCTCAAGTTTACACAGTTCAATTTTTACCTGATTCATATTGACTACAATGACTGTATTTGCTCACCTTCCCATTCATGTGCCTAAAAAAGCATGTTTTTGCTTTCTGCTATTCATTTTGATAGACAATTCATTAGTTGTTCAGAGTAGTTACATTGGGTTTCTCCCTTAACTGTGGCATCCTTTAGTTGTCTCTGAGCTTGGCTTACTTCACTTAATGTCATTTTTTTCGTAGGTCTATTCTTTTCCCTGCAAATGACATTGTTTCTGATGAATGAGTCGAATTCCATTGTGCAAATGTAGCATTTTCTGCATGCACTCTATTATCTATTATCCACTCTATTGTAGAATGTCTGCGCTGGTCCCTTAACTTGGCTACAGCGAGTAGTGTAGCAGTGGACATGGATGTACAAGTGTCTACACTGTGTTATGACTTGTAATATTCTGGATAGATGCCTGAAAGCGGTATGGCTAGATCATAGGGGAGGTTCTTTAGGTTTTTTGAAGTATCTTCAAACTGCTGTACTAGTTTATCTTCCCACCCACCTTGCCAACACCAGCATGTTATTGCTCTTTTCTATTTGCTGGCCAATTTTTACTAGGTTATTTTGGCAGTGAGTGGTTTTTTGAGTTACTTGTATAGTCTGGATATTAAGTCCTTGTCAGATGCATACTTGGTAAAGGTCTAATCTAAATCTATAGGCTGTATTTTTAGTTTAGAAATTGTGTTTGATGTGCAGAAACTTTTGAGTTTGATGCAATCCCATTGTCAGGATTCTGCTCACTGAGCCACTGGAATGAAGATCCAGTGATTCTTTCACATACAGATGTACAACTTTTGCAACATCAGTACCCTAACCAGTAACATATATTTGGGGTTCCTTTGTCAATACCAGATGGCTCTATGTATCTGGGTTTATTTTGGGGCTTTCCAGTCTATCCTATTAGTCTTTTTCTTTTTTCCCCTGTCATGGGCCTGAATTCTGGCCCTGTCCCTCAGCTCTTCAGCTCAAGGTTAGTGCCCTACTACTTGAGCCACAGCACCACTTCAGGCTTTTTCTGCTTATGTGGGGCTGAGGAATCGAACCCAGGGCCTCATGCATGTGTGGCAAGCACTCTACCACTGAGCCACCTTCCCAGCCCCTATCCTATTAGTCTTTGGACCTATTTTCATTCTTGTGCCACTGTTTTTGTTATTAAACTTGTGGAGTAAACTTTGAGATCAGGAAAGCTCAGATTTGCTTGGATTTTAAGAGTCATTTGTAGATCCATTTGAATTTTTTGATTTCTTTTTTCTATTTTTGTGAAGAGTGACATTGCATTGATTTGTATATGGCTTTTAACAATATGATCATCTTCACATTATTAATCCTGTCATTCTAGGAACATGTGAAATCTTTTCCACATCCTGCTATCTTCTTCAGTTTCATTCTTCATTGAATGGTGTTAATACTTTCAACCACATCAATGTCCTTTGCAAAAATTATACCTATTACCAATTACTGCAAAATTACTGTTACTACCTAGTTAAACATCATATGTTCAACCTAGAGCTTGTTAGGGGAACAAGAAAGAGTCTTGATAAATTTTAATTTGCTGAAATATACATTCTCTGACCACAGCGAATTGAGGTTTACAACAGAAATCAGTATAATAAAGTCATCTAGGAAAGTCAGCAAGCATTTGGCAATTGAATAACAATCCTAAATAATCCATGCATTATGGGGAATTCCAACAGTAATTAAGGAAGCATTTTGAATGAAAGAGTATACTGGAAAAGTGTAAATTATAGTTTAAACTGTGTGTTGGGGGTAAGAGTTAAATACCACTAAACAAAGGCCCTTCCTTAGGAAGCTAAAGAAAAGCACACTGGAAGTAGAAATAGCAATCAGTGATATACAAGTCAGATCCACAGGAAAAGCCCTAGTTTATTTAATAAAGAAAATGATACTGTGATGTGTTACAATAGTAAGGGAATAAAGTAAATGCTGTCAGCATTATATGCAGAAGCTGTCTGATCTTGAATTCGCTTTTTAAAAGTGCCTTCAAATGACCTATTTGTGTTTGGCTTTCAAGAATCAGTAACATTTTCTCAATGAATATTTTAAGCAAGAGAAATAGTAAGAAAAAAACATGTTTGTAGGAAATGCAAATTACACCAGAAACAATGGCTTATTTTCTGGAAAACAACAAATGCTAGAAAATAGAGGAGCCCAGGAACCTTATTCACTGCAAAATGAGAATGTAAATTAGTTATGCCACTAGAAGTGAAGATTGGGTATCTCTCAACAAAGTAAAACTTAAAGTACCTATTATACCTACTGCTTAGGCACATAGTTGAGAAAATGTAAATAAAAATGTATCACAACTGTGCTTATAGCAGCAACATTTATAATAAAATGAACCTGAGTGTTCAAACTGATGATTAAGTAAAGAAAAAGATGCATAATCACAATGGAATATTATTAACCAGTAGACAGGAAAATACATGGAACTGGAAAAGGCAAACAATGTGAGTTTTCAGTCATATATGAAATCCAGACATAATTAAAAGATATGTTATGTCAATGTGGAATGATTGGGGGAAGAAGTGAAAATAGCAGTGAGTACATATTTCATTACTTCACAATGGGCAAATTTTGGGTTGATCAAGCCTCCAGCTTTATCAGTTAAACCAGAACTATACTTCTGAAATGAGATTCATGAACTTTCCTACTGAGGTGCCTTAGAACACCATACTTAGGTAACTAGTATTACAGGTGTTACACTCCAGCGTCAGGTTATAAATGAAGATGCTATGGAATTTTCAGCACTATTACCGTCTTCCAAGTCCATGTTTTGTTCTTTATGGCCCATTGTGAGTGTGTGTATAGAGGTCTGACTTCATTCAAAGATTTTTCACTCAAGGCTAGTGCTGTAGCATGCACCACAGCTCCATTTCTGAGCTTTTGGTGATTAATGGTGATGAGTCTCTTGTGCGTTTCTACTCAGGATGTATTCAACCAGTGACCTTCTGATGTCAGCCTCCTGTGTACCTAAGATTTCAGGTATGATCAACCAGCTCTAGGTTCTTTGGTATTTTTATGCTATCAAGTTCTAGATATGGTTCAAAAGATATTGCATGAAGTTTAATTTGTCTTAGGAATTGCAGTTGTGAGCTTTTATTTTGAATTTTTTTGTATATGCTATAAATTTGTTTGCATGCAGGTTCCCCAATATTTACTGGAATATCCTTTCTAGATTGTGTATTAACGTCAACCTTTCAGGATTAATTGAAAGTATGCACTTGTTTCTGGGTTCCCTATTGTATCCCATTATTCTCCATAGCTGCTTTTATCACAGTTCTGTACTATTTCTATCTGTATAGAATACAGATAAAATACAATTTGCAATCAGGTTTTTCGGTTTTTGGTTGTTTTTTTTTTTTTAATTGTCAATTGTGGGGGCTGAACTCTGGGCCTGGGCATTGTCCCTCAGCTCTTCAACTCAAGGCTCGGACTCTACCAGTTGAGCCACAGCACCACTTCCCGCTTTTTTTTCCCCCTGTTTGTGTGGTATTGGCAGATTGAACCCAGAGCTTCTCATATATATATATCTCCAAATGGGATTTTTTAATATATTAATGTACATAGATATGTACATTATATGTATACATTATATGTATACTGAAATCAGACGATAAAACACACCCACTGGAAGCTGTTGAATAAGAGGGGCTTCCAGAACCATAATCTGACTTAGGTATTGTGCATGCATGTGTAAAACATGATGAAACTGAAAGACGCATTAGAATACCCCAAAAGACTAACAGTGCCCTGGTGCTGGTGGCTCATGACTATAAGCTAGCTACTCAGGAAGCTAAAATCTGAGGATCCCCGTTTGAAGCCAGTCTAAGCAGAAAAGTTTGTGAGATTCATCTCCAGTTAATTATCAAAAGAAGCTAAAAGTGGCACTGTGGCTTAATTGGTAGAGCAATAACCTTGATTTAAAAAGCCTAGGAACAACTCCCAGGCA